CTTACTGGGGGATTCTAGGCAGGGGCTCTACCACTGAGCCACACCCCCAGGCCCTCACTGGGAGATTGTAGGTCGGAGCTCTACTACTGAGCCACTGAGTCCCTTACTGGGGGATTCTAGGCAGGGGCTCTATCACTGGGCTATATTCCATGACCCTTCATTAGAATATTGTAAGTAGGGGCTCTAACACTGGAAGCTACATCCCCAGCCTTAGACAAATGTGTATCTGCCTGAGGGTTGTGAACATAACTGACAATACTCAAGCGTTTCTTTTTGTACATTTATAGCATCCTCAGTCTTATGAGGGAAGTGCTATGATGATGTCTATTTTATGGATGAAGAAATACAAAGAGTCGATTTCCCCAGCAGAGCGGAGTTTTAGTGTTTGTCTGTCTGTCAGCTCCATCACCCTGCGCTGCCTCGGGAGGAACTGGTAACTCTGACTGTGCTCCCTTCCAGTGGCTGTGGGAACTATAAAAGCTGGAGCAAGGTTTACAGTACTACAGACTCTTGGTTTCCTCTCTTGTGACATACAGAGTTGACAGCAGCAATACATAAGAGATGTCATAGGAACTGGCGAGCTAAAAGGTCAAAAGTAACCTGGCCAGGTGGCATAAAAGATCCAGACTCTCAAAACTTGGGAGATTAAAGTGGCAGGGTCAAAAGTTCTATGCCATTTCGGTCTGGATGGTTAGAACCTGTCTCAAGGAAAACAAATAAAATGGTGGACTGTGGTTGGGGGTGTGGCTCAGTGGTAGAGCCCCTGCCTAGAATTCCCCAGTGAGGGGCTGGGGTGTGGCTCAGTGGTAGAGAGCTTGTCTAGTCTTCACAAGGTCTTAGATTAATTCCTCAGCAATGAAAAATAAAACTAGCCACATTATTCTCATTTATTATTCTTTTGCAGGTTTGGAACCCAGAGCTAAGTGCCCCTCACCACAAAACCTATCTCATGGTGGCTGTCGTTTTTGTTCGTGGACTGTAAATGGAGGACACTGTACCGGCTTGAGATGGCGCCTAGAGATGCCCAGAGGGAGGTATGACTCGGTCATGGGGACACCTGAGCCTTCCTGTACCAGGGATACAGAACCTAGCTTGACCTAGAAACTCTAGAGGCCTCCCTTTCCTCCTCCCTCGTTGTCTCCCCCTCCTGCTGGCCTAATTAAGCATCTACCCCTCACACAATGCCCAGTCCACACAGCCTCAGTTGGCATCAGTGGTTCCCCAAGCGTTCTGGGACCTGGTAATTGGCTGTGCCTCTTACCTTCTTGGGTGTAGGCAAAATTTTGAGCAGCGTGAGAGGCAGAATTTTTAATCCAGCATAGCTGAGGCTGCCAGCTTCCCACCTGGGAACTATTCTCTTTGACCAGTGATGACATCATTTGGAGGCGTCAATACTCCCAAGGGCAAGACTACATTTCCCAGAGTCCCTTGCAGCTAGGAAGCCTACCGCCAGTAGGGCCCTTGAGGTGGCTGCGAAACTGGAAGCCCTAAGCTAAAGAAGAAGCAGGAAGACAGAAGGTTCTGTTACTGAAGACTGTGTGGGAATTCTATTCAACAATGTACTTCTTAGAATTTTTTAAAATGTGTGGGAGAAATAATTCTATGTCCTTATAATCTACTTCTAAAGTATCAAGTCTCTTTTATCTCTCTGTCCCTTAAAAATGTATTTTTGGGGGGCTGGGAAGATGGCTCAGAGGTTAAGATGACTGGATGCTCTTCCAGAGGACCAGAGTTCAATTCCCAGCAACCACATGGTAGGTCATAACCATCTACAATGAGATCTGGTGCCCTGTTCTGGCACGTAGGCATACATTCCAGAATACTATATACATAATAAATAAATTAAAAAAAATGTTTTTTTGAGATAAGGTCTCATGTAAACCAAGCTGGTCTTGAACCTCGTTGCATAGACTGCCCTGTGCTTTGAACCCCTGATCCTCCTGCCTCCAGCTCTGCTGGCATTAAGAGCGTTCACCACCATGATTGTTGCGTTCTTGCCGTAATGGCTGAGATCTAGAAGGTGCTGGACAGCCCCTTGAGAAATACCGTTCTCCGAGGGGAAGTGGCCCTGCCTTAGGGCAAGGGTGAGAGCAGGAGCTACCCAGCAATCAGGGTCCTCCCCTACTCCACACTTTCTATTTGTACCCATAGAGGTCTGGTCTTTATCCCTCTGGGGAGCAGGGCACCCCTCCATGTGAGCTGCAGACCTGTGCGAAAGCTCCAGGTCCTACCTTGGAGCAGAGAGGGCGTGGGTCAAGCATCCCTAGGTGCACATGAGCCCATGCTCTGGGGTGACAACCAAAAGCAGGGGGGCCTAGCTGCACTTGACCCAACTGGCGACGATAGAAGGAGAGGCCGACAACCACGTGCATTCATCCTGACGTTTATGGACTAGGTGACTCTCCCACAGCTAGACGCTAAATCTAGGTGGAGGCAGGATGGCGGGACCGCGGTCTGCATCCCTACTGCAGGTGAGAGATCCTGGGCTCAGGGGTGGATGCGGGAAGATGCTGCGATAGCGCGTTTCTCTCCAGGTCTCAGTGGCCTACGGTGTGGGTGCTGCTGCTGCGGCTGCGGCGGCGTCGGCGGCGGCTACTCCAGGGCTGTGCATGAAGATCGGGAGCGGGGACAAGGAGGTTGTCAGTCAACAGGAGGATCTTCCCGCAGCCCCGCCCACCGCGCCTCCCGCAGACCCCTCCGCCCCGCTCAGCCTGTGCCACGATCTGGGGTCTGGTGTTGCAGGAAGGTAGACTGGTCCTCCAGCTGGACTGTGACAAAGGAGGCTGCAAAGGAATTCCCGGGCTCGGGAGTGCGCCTGCGCGAACCCAGACAGCCAGTGGCTGGGTTCTGACTGGTCCTGGCTCAGGATCTTGACATCTGAATGTCTAGGTTTGGGACAGGCAAGACTACAGATTGTTATTCTCCGTCAGGGGCACCTGTCCAGCGCACCTGTCCTGGTAACATGGCCTTGAAGATCTCTGGGAATTCCTAGTCTGATGGAAGAGACAAGATCCCTGTCTCTGATGGAGGAGACATGGTTCCTGACTCTGGTGGAGGAAATATGGCCCTTGATTCTGGGAGCTCCCAGTCTGACGGAGGAGACATGATCCCTGACTCTGGGAGCTCCCAGTCTGATGGAGGAGACACAGTCCCTGACTCTGGGAACTCCTAGTCTGATGGAGGAGATGCTGTCTCTGACTCTGGGAGCTCCCAGTCTGATGGAGGAGATGCTGTCTCTGACTCTGGGAGCTCCCAGTTTGATAGTGGAGACATGGTTCCTGACTCTGGAAGCTCCTAGTCCGATGGAGGAGATACTATCCCCGATTCTAGGAGTTTCCCAGTCTGATGGAGGAGATACTATCCCTGATTCTGGGAGTTTCCCAGTCTGATGGAGGAGACACAGTTCCTGACTCTG